GGCTGGGGTGGGAGAGCTGACTGGCTCTGGGAGACCTGACGCAACGCTGGCGGTGGAGGCTCGTTTGCTGCGGCCTGGCCTCCCGCTGCCCACCGCGCCGCCTGGCCCGCACCGGCTGCAGGCGTCTGTGGTGATGGCGCGGCGCGTGGCGGTGCACCCCAAGATAGAGGTGGTGTGGGAGCACGAGTGCATGGAGGCGTTTGGGCGGGAGGACGGCACACTTGGTGGGCAGCTGCACGGCAGGGGCTGGGCTGCGTGTGGCTGGCCGGCGGGCCTGGAGCGGGCACACCGCAGGGCAGGGTGGGGCGCCGCCTGCTGCCGCACATTGCGCTGGGGTGCACAGCGGCAGCAGCGCGTGTCTGGCATGCTTGATCTCCTGCCCCTCGGTGTGCTGGCTGCAGCCGGCATCCACATCCGCAACCGGCACACCGGAGAGGAAAGCGACCTCCCCGTCGGCGGCCTCTTCTTCGCCATTGGTGAGGCGGGCGGCAGGCCGAGCTGTGGGTTGCCGGGGGGCCGGGCTGTGGGGCTTGGCAGCCAGGCAAACCGCAGCCAAGGCGGCCAAGCATTGGGCGCTGGTGGCTCGCTGCTGAGGTGCCGATGGTCCTGCCGCCGCTGCTGGATGCCCCCGGGGTCATGCAGGCCATGCGCCGGCAACCGCCTTCCTGGGGGGGCAGCTGGAGCTGGACAGCGCCGGCTACATTGTCACCACACCCGACAGCACCGCCACGAGCGTGCCAGGTGGGTGGGGGCGCGGCGCGGCGGCACAACAGCGGCGTGCCTGCGAGGTGCTGCGCTGCGGTGAACGAAAAATATCAAAAACAAATGTGAGGATGGCGGGCGTGGGCCTGACCGAGGCGAGCCGTCCGCCCCCGGCCCCTTGCCGCGCAGGCGTGTTTGCGGCGGGCGATGTGATGGACCGCAAGTGGCGGCAGGCCGTCACCTCGGCCGGCGCAGGTGGGCCAGCTGGGGTCGGCAGGCTGGGGGAGTTTTGGCCGCTGCAGTGTGGCTGCTGCAGTGTACCCGCTGCATTTTTGCCGCTGCAGCGTGGCTGCACGGTCCCTGGCCTGCCCAACACACGCCCGAGCCCTGCTGCTGCCTGTGCAGGGTGCATAGCTGCCATCGAGGCCCAGCACTTCCTGCAGTCCAACCAGGACGGCGCTGACACAAGCTTCATAGGGCAGACCGACCTCAACGCCGCCTGGGTGGCGCAGATGCAGCAGGAGGCGCAGGAGCGGCAAGCCAGCGGCGACAAGGTGGGCGGGGATCGGGTCAGGGGGCAGCCTGGGGGGGCATGCGCGGTTGGGTGGGTGGCAGGTGGCTTGGGACCTGAATGCCCCGTCGGGTGCGGCCGCTGTGCAACACACAGCCCCGCTCTGCTCATGCTTGCACGCTCTGCTCATGCTTGCAGGCTGCGCCCGCCGCGCCAGTCCCAACCAGCGCCTGACGCTGGCGCCGAGTCGCGAGCAGCCGGGCACCGGTTGCCGGCAGCGGCTGTTGCGCCACAGCGCCAGCCAGCCGCTTGCCCCTTGGCACCGAAGGCACACCCAGTGTGAGCACTCCTCCGCAGAAGGAAATATACGCCACATGTACACGTGCGGGGCAGTGCAGGTGCATCCCGATGGGCTGCAGCTGCCGCAGCATGCAACTGTTTTTTTTTGCGCACCTGCATCCCCTTCAGCCCTACAATTTGTCTGTGCTCGTTAGTGCTGTGCATATTCTGCGCCGCGCCCCGATGAAGCGCTCTCCATGTACCAACGTCCTTTTTTGTTCCCATAGCTCTCGCCCACGATACTAGCCGAAACAAATGGATCCCATGTTTTGAGATATGATTGCAAATCCATGCTGCCATCGAAAATGCATGCATCGCCGATATGATCAAGACCGCTTGCTGCACCATGCCACCCCCGCAATGTAACTGTCCTCAGTCTGTGGGACAGACAACAAGGCTGAGGTCAAGCTGCAAACAGAGCAATCAGGTTAAAAGCGATTAGCAGCAGTCAGCGAATGCTCAGCAAGGCGCAACTTAGGCACGCCTCTGACTCCACTAGTGCCTGCAGCGGGAGGAGCGGGGCCAGAGGGCTGCACCCCTGGCTGCCAGCGCTCACCAGGTGTGGCAGGCTGCCCAGCGCGAATCCAGCCGACTCCCCGGACGCATCGCCGGCCATCCCCAGCGCCAGCCGCGTCAGGCAGGTGGGCAGGCGGGCCTCGGGGTCCCACCTGACGGCGTAGGCTGCCAGGCGCAGCGAGTGGAGGGCGGTGAAGCGGGCGAGGGGCGCGCTGACAGTGAGCGGCACCTCGTGCTGGCCGCGCTGCTCCAGCAGGCAGAGGTCCAGGGTGCGCAGGCCGCCCGCCAACTGTGAGGCCCAGCGACCGCTCAGGTGCAGCGGCAGGTGGGCTGCCCGCAGGCCGAGCTCGCGCAGCCTGCCGTGGGCGGCGGCCGCCACCTCTTGCCAGCCCTCCCTTCACCTCCTCGGCCCACCCTCCCTCTTCGCGGCGCTGCCCTGGTTGTTCCGCTCTGGCCGAGTGGGCTGCCGAGTCGTGGCCTATGTCGAGCACCAGACGCTCCACACCTCCCTCTGCAGCACGGGCCGCCGCCCAGCGCAGGAATGCCCGCGCCTTCGCCACGCACCGTCCCGGGGAGCTGCGGCTGGTGTGCAGCTCCAGGCAGCGCACCAGCTCCCTGCTGGCCACCAGGCGGCGCCACCGCCGGCACACCAACAGCACGGCACGGTGCCTGTAGCAGTAGGGTGTAGGTGAGGGGAAACCAGAGGACAGACGACTGGGGATTTCACATGGGGGAGAATGAGGAGGGGGCGAGGCTTGCCTACACCAACCTTGCTGTCAAGTCGAGGTAGCAGAAGACGGCGACCAGGCAGCCGTCGGGGAGAGTGGCAGCCACCCCTGCGCCGCTGCCACCATGCTGCCGCATTGTGCTTGGCTTGGCAGATCTAGGTGAACCCACTGAAGTTGAGGGTTCGGGCGTTTCAGGAGGATTTCTGGGACTGTCCCGGAAGGCCTGATCTCTAATGTGTGAACCTCTAGATCGTGCGCTCTGGACGGGTGGAAGCACCAGGTGCTGCACCTAGCAGCCTGCTCAGGAGGCCTTCCTGGCCCGGCGGCGCCGCCTACGTGGCGCAGCGCCCGCAGCAGGTGAATTTCACGGGGAACGCGGGCACATCGCGCTCTCTCTGGTGCACCCAGGTGTTCTGCAATGTCTGTTGCAGCTCCCACCATGCGTTTTCAGTCGCTGGTGGTCCTGCTTATCGCGGGCCTGGCATTTCAGGTGCTCAGGCCGCGCAATCAAGAGGCTCCTCGTTTCAAGCATCTGTCCGAGGGATTGTACAGGTACGCGATGGATGCCGCCGCCAGCCCATGCATGCAAATCTGTTGGCTGGTACCTGCCGCCGCCGCCGCCTGCCGCCCACCGGCCACCCCTTTTCTCCCTGCAGCCTGACCCAGTGGTGGCAACCCATCCCTGGCCTTTTGTACTATCCCGTGTCTGTGTTTATCGCTCGGCAGGAGGGCAAATGGGTGCTGGTGGACGCGGGAGTGCTGGGCACGCAGCGGCAGCCGCATGCCGCACAGCTGCTGGCCGCCCTGCAGGCCACCGTGCCTGCAGAGGAGAAGCTGGCGGCAATACTGGGTGGGCGGCTGTTTGTTTGCCGAGCTCTTGCTGGTGCCGTGTCCTCAGCCACGTGCCGCCGGCAGCCGCTCGACTGTGCAGCTGCGTTCGCCCCGCCTGCGCCCGCAGTTTCCCACCACCACCCCGACCACACCGGCGCCCTCCCGCTGCTGTTGGAAGCCTTCCCCGACACGCCGGTGGCGTTTTACGAGGACGAGCGGCCCTTCCTGCTGGGGAACAAGACCTTTGCGCAGCCAGGCAGCCTGCAGGCCCGCCTGTTCCGCTGGATTGGCCTGCTGGGCGAACGGCCCTTTAAGGCAAGAAGCAGCCGCCTGAGGGCCATCGCCGGGCGTACTGGCATTCAAAAGGCCTGCCTACGCCGGCTGGCGGTGCCCTCAGCGCATCTCAGCAGCACAGCGTTCACTGTCGGCATTTCGCCATGGACCACCCGACATCCTGCCCCCTTGCCTCAAGTGCGCCTGGCCTGGCCTGGCCTGGTCCCCTCCTGCAGGTGCCCGCCAGCAGGGCGCACGTGCTGGAGGAGCCTCTGGCCGACCTGTCTGTGTTTGGTGTGGACCATCTCATCTATATCCCCAGCCCCGGCCACTCCCCCGGCCACATCAGCCTGCTGCACCACCCCTCCCGCACGCTGCTGGCGGTGGATGGCGTCAGCTTCATCAGGCCCTCGCTGCGCCGCAGCAGCCCCGGCGACGCAAACGACACTCGGGTGGGTGGGCACGCCTCGGGCCGGCCTGGTGCACCACCTGCTGCTGCCTGCCAGCGCCCGCTGCGGTCATGCCTTGTCCGAGGCGCCCCAGCTGGCGGTACGGCAGCAAGTGCGATGCCGGCTGGCTGGTGGTTTGCCATGCAGGTGGTCTGGAGCTTCAAGCCCCTGCCCTTCCTGCCAGGGCTGACTCTGCGGGCGGAGCCGCACATTGTGTGCCAGGGACCCGAGTGCGTGGCCGCCACCCGCCGCCTGCCGCCACCGCTTCCGCGCGGTTTGAGCCCGGCTGCTGGCACCTGCCCTGCGCTCGCTTGGGGCGCACCTCACGCGTCCAGCTGGGCAGCTGCTGGCGCCCGGCCGCGGCGTCGTGGCATGCGTTGCACGCCTGCCGGCGTCTGTGGCTGGGCCCTGCACATGCAGCGTTGCATGCCCCACCTCAACCGCCACCTCCGCTCGTCCCGCTGGTGTGCAGGTGCGAGCGGGAGAGGGCTGAGAAGTCGTTCTGCCTGCTGGCTGACGCGATGGAGTACAGGCGGGTGCTGGCTTCGCACGACCTGGCGGCAGCAAGCGGCGGAGGCTGGACGCAGGTGAGAGGCAGCCGGCGGGTGGAAGCCGCCGTGCGGTGCGGGGCGGCATGGTGCTGTGCTGCGCTGCGCCGGGCTGCCCGCCGCTGCCCCCCGCTACCCCGCGCACCTCCCAGCCTTGCCCATGCGTGCCGCCCGGTGTTTTTCGTGGCTTTGTTGCAGGCTGAGATGCGGGCCCACTCCTCCTCTATCCCAGAGTGTGCCAGGATGGCCGCGCTAGCAGAGGAAGGGGGGGCACCACATCCCGAGGGGGAGGAGCAGTCTGAGGACGAGGTGGAGGAGGTGGTGGATGATGACAGTGATCCGTATGAGTTTCCAGCGGACGATGATGAGGACGACCCGTACGAATAATGGGCGGCTGCGCATGATGACGCGCCCGCACCTCTCAGCGCTCCCGTCCTGCCACAGCTGGCGGTCAGCCCAGGTTGCTGCGGTGTGTGCCGTGGTGCGTGCTTGCACCCCAGGCTCCTGTTTCCGGGCGGCCCACTCCTTGCTGCACCAGATGCCTGCCCGCGCCGCGTGCTGCTGTGGTGTGCCTCGTGCCTCCCACCCATGCCGTCGGCTGTCACCTGGCATCTCCCCGCTCCCTCCTGTTTGATGCCGGGGCTAGTGCTCATGCTTACAGGCAGTGCCAGTCAGTCAAGACCAGGTGTTCAAAACAATAAAGCAAAACGCGGCGGGCTGGGCAGCCCTGCAAGTGATACTGAAGGGATGGGGTGCGACCGGGGCACGTGCATGTGCTGAATAACAGGGAGGCATTAGCAGGGAGGCAAAACTGTCAAGAGGGGGGTGCTGCCAGCTGCGTTCAGTCGGCGCTGGAAAGGAAGGCGCTGACGTCAAACTCGGGCTGCGGCGGCGGCGGCGGCATGTGCGGCGGGTGGTGGTGGTGGTGCGCGGGCAGGTGCGCGGGCAGGCCCACGCCCGGCGCCACCGCCGGCGGCGCTCCGCCAAACAGCGGGGGCGGCGCGGGCGCGCTGCCTGGCCGCGGCGGCAGGTAGGAGGTGGCGCCCAGCAGGCCCGGGGGTGGCGGCAGGCCCTGCCCGGGTGCTGCACCCGAAGGCATCGGCCGCGGCATCATCGGCCGCGGAGGCCCGGCGCTAGGCCTGGGCGGCCCGCCGCCCCCCGGCCGCGGAGGGGCACCTCCCGGCCGTGGAGGGGCGCCTGCCGGCCGCGGCGCCTGCCCCGGCTGCGACAGCGGCAGCGGCAGCGGCCTGAGCGACTGCTGGCCGCCCGGCATCGGCCTGGGGCCCAGCTGCTGAGGGCCGGGCCTGGGGGGCAGCTGCTGGCCGCCGGGCAGCGGCCGCGGCGCCTGCTGCTGGCCGCCGGGGCGAGGCGGCAGCTGCTGCATGCCTGGCGGCGGCCGCGGCGGCTGCTGCGCGCCAGGCATCGGCCTGGGCGGCGGCTGCTGAGCGCCTAGCAGCGGCCGAGGCGGCAGCTGCATGCCTGGCGGCGGGCGCAGCGGCAGCATGCCCGGCCTCATCGGCTGCTGCTGCGCACCCGGGGGAGGCCTGGGGTGCTGCTGCTGCTGCCCCTGGGGAGGCCCGGGCCGCGGCTGCTGCTGCCCTGGGGGCGCCGGCGGCCGCGGCTGCTGCTGCTGCTGCTGCTGCTGCTGCTGGCCTAGCGGCGGCCTGGGCCCCGGCTGCTGCCCAGGCGGCGGCGACGGCCGCGGCGGCTGCTGCTGCGCGGCCTGCGCCTGCTGCTTGCCGTCGTCTGGCGGGGATGCAGCCAGGTAGTCAACCACGTCGTGCGCAGCATGGGCCTGGTGCTGCTGCTGCTGCCCTGGCTGCTGCCCCGGCTGGCCCCCAGGCGCCGGCCCCGCGCTGGGGATCGGCAGTGGCGCTGAGGCTGTCGGCGGCGCGCCCGGCATGGACAGCGGCAGCGCCTGCGGCAGCGATGACGGCGGCATGACGGGCGCCCCAAGGCCCGACGCCAGCGGCAGGCTGGCGGGCGGGTGCGAGGGCGGCGGCGCCGACGCGTGCTGGGGCAGGTGGCTGTGGTGGTGGTTGTGGCTGTGGTGGTGCAGGTGGTGGTGGTGGTGCGTGTGGTGGTGGTTGTGGTGCCCGCCCAGGTGCAGCGGCAGGGAGTGGGACTGGTGGAGGGTGGCGGAGGAGTGGTGCAGGCCAGACAGGTGGGGCATGGAGCCCGACAGGTTCATCGACAGGCTGGGGCGCAGCGGGGAGCGCAGCTGCAGGGCAGGAGAGAGGCGGAGCGGCGGGTCGGGGCAGGCGCATGGGCACACACACTCCACTCCCTGCTCTCTTTGCTCCACAAGGCAGGCTCCAGCGCGCTCCCTGCCACCGCCACACACCCCGCCACAGGCACCAGCCGGTGCCCCACCTGCGGCGGCGCCGCTGCCGCTGCCGCGGCTGCAGGGTCGGGGGCCATCACAAAGATGGGCAGGCCGTTGGGGCCAGGCATGGGCGCCGCGGGCGGCAGCGGCAGGCCGCCGGCAGACGCGGCGGGCGGCTTGGCCTTGAGCTGGAAGAAGGTGGGGTGCATGAGGGGGGCGTCGTCGTCCGACGACATGCCCGCATCCGTGTCCGCCGCCGCCTCGGCAATGGCATCGGCCGTGGCGGCGGCGGCAGCCAGGTAGTCGTCGTCGCTGTCGTCTGCGGGGCAGGCACGCAGGCAGGGAGGCAGGCACAGGGGCTGAGGGTCGGCATGTTTTGGCTGGCATGCCCCTTCTAGCCAGCCAGGTCTGCTCCTGCACCACCTGCCCAGCCAGCCGACCCAGGGAAAGAGCAGCCGGCGGGCGGCGGCGGCCCACGGCCGTGCCGAGACGCACCATCCGCCACTGTCGCCTTCTCGGTCGGCCGGCGCGCCCGCTTGGGCCTGCCGTCCGCGCCGTGGTCGCCCTCAAACAGCTCCGGCATGCGCTTGGCGCCCGACAGGTCGCGGTCCGCAGCCGACGACGACATGTGGCCGCCGCCGCCGCCCAGCACGCGCGGCGCGCCGGCGCGGGCGGTGCCAGTCAGCGCCGCCGCCGCCGCCACGCTGGCATTGGCGTTGTTGCTGCTGGCCTCCACGGCGGGCAGCGCCGAGGCCGGCTCCGGCGGGGAGCCGGCGGCCGCGGCGGCGCCGGCCGTGGAGGCCTGCAGCAACAACGCCAATGCCAGCGTGGCGGCGGCGGCGGCGCTGACTGGCACCGCC